GCATGTGGTCATCCAGCCACAAAAGCCCCTCCTGCTCCCTGGGTGCTGTGGTGTGGAAAGCACTAAGGCTGTCCCACTGCTTCCCCCACTCAAGTGGAGTCTCTGCCCTTGCTCCCATGGGTGTTGGCTGTCCCACCAAGTCCCCTCAGGGTTCCCAGCTGGAGCCAGGCTTCAGCACAGCTGCCCAGCTCCACCAGCCCCACCTCCTGCTCAAAACCCAGTGACCAACATCCTCCTTTCCTCGTGGTGGCTAAAAGCCACGTGTAAAAATACCTGCCTGGTGGGTGAAAGTGTGGTCACAGGTTTCAGCCCAGGAGGTGGACAGCACAGAGCTGTGATTGCCCTAAAATCCTCTGGCCATACTGCAACAGTCCTCCAGGGTGTGAGGGTTCATCTTCAGCTCATCTTTGCAACCTCCAGCATCTCTTCCTTGTGCAATCTTGGCTTGGGATGCTCCAGATTCACAGAGCAGATCCACACTTGCGTTCCTGGGTGGTGCTGCTGTTGCCACACATCCTGTGCCTGGTGATGGGATCCCTATCCCACTCTTCCCTGTCTCTCCACAGGTTTCTACAACGGCCACACGAAGGTGGCTGTGAAAAGCCTGAAGGCAGGCAGCATGTCACCCAGTGCCTTCCTGGCTGAGGCCAACCTCATGAAGAACCTGCAGCACCCACGGCTGGTGCGACTCTACGCCGTGGTGACCAAGGAGCCCATCTACATCATCACAGAGTACATGGAGAAGGGTGAGGCCGCTGTGGGGATGGCTGGGGGCTGTGAAGAGACAGTCACAGAATCACAGGATCATTTAGGTTGGAAAAGACCTCCAAGATAAGTCCAACTGGTGACTGATCACCACTCTGGCAACTAGAGTAGAGCGCTGAGTGCTGTGTCCAGTTGTGTCTTGAACACCTCCAGGGATGGTGACTCCACCACGTTCATGGGCAGTCAGTTCCTAAAGTCCGGTCCTTCTACTCCTGGCTGTCCAATCCAGCTGTTGCTGCTGGTTTATGTGTCTCAAGCCACTTTTGACATTCTTTCCCTCTCCACACTCTGCCTTTGCATCACCTCTCCCACCACTGGGTCTTCAGGGTTAACAGAGGGGAAAAAGAACCTTGCAGAAAGGGTGTTCGGGGAGCTCGGGGATAACAGAGGGAGAAAAAGAACCTTGCAGAAAGGGTGTTCTCCTGCCCACTCACTCCTGCCCACCTCTCTGGGGGCTGTGAGCTGCCCAGCCCCACTTTTGGGGTTGCAGTGAGTGCAGTGCCCTGGTAATGCCCCCCAGATACCAGGGAGGGAGAGGCAGTGTGTGTTTGCCACCAAGACTTGCTGCTTTCATTGCAGGAAGCCTCGTGGACTTCCTGAAGACCTCAGAAGGTGTCAAGCTCAGCATCAACAAACTGCTGGACATGGCTGCACAGGTAAGGGGCAGAGCTGGGGATTGGAGTGGGGAGGGCTCTGGGGGACTGGTTGGTGGCTGTTAATTGCAATGACCCCAAATCACAGATTGCTGAAGGTATGGCCTTCATCGAGGCCAAGAACTACATCCACCGTGACCTGAGAGCTGCCAACATCCTCGTCTCGGACGCTCTGTGCTGCAAGATCGCTGATTTCGGGCTGGCCAGAGTCATCGAGGACAATGAGTACACGGCTCGAGAGGGTGTGCCCCAGCCCGCCCTGCTCCTGGGGGTGGACACAGCTTGGGGATATGGGAGGAGGGACCTCCACCCACCCTGGCATCTCTGGGGGTCTCCACAGTCCCCTGGGAGCTGCTGCAGAGGGGAGCACAGGGTGCAGGGAGAGGGAGAGCTGTGGAGATGGGAAGAGGAGGAATAGGAGATGTTGGGAGGGGAGCAGGAGCATGCAAGGACAGGAGCTGTGGGAGAGAAGAGCAGGGAATGCAGGGAGAGGAGCTGCAGCAGAGGAGAACAGGGGGATGGAGGGACAGAAGCTGCAGGAGAAGAGAGCAGGGGATGCAGAATCAGGAGCTGTGGGAGAGAGGAGAAGGATGGAGGGACAGAACTGGGAGAGGAGAGCAGGGGATGCAGGGACAGGAGCCGTGCGAGAAGAGGGGCACATCCCGGCAGGAGAGAAGAGCAGAGGGTACAAGGACAATTTCCCCCCCTCCATCTCTCTCCCCCCGGATGGAAGGGAGTGTGGAGCCCTTGCTTGCCCGTCCAACGCTGCATTTGGTGGGGTGACAGCCCAATCTGGTGGCTCCAGCAGGACAGGGGTGCCAGCCCATGCCAGGGGCTGTAGCCAGCTAGCAGTGGGGGACAGTGAGGGCTTTCTGCCACCAAGCCCAGCTCACCCCCAGCCTTGCAGCAGGGACAGAAGCTGCCTCGGGGTTGTCACATCCCATTAAACACACAGGGCTGATTCCAGCTCAGCCGCAACACTTTTATTTCCTCCTCTCCCGCTGCTTTTCAGGGGCTAAATTCCCCATCAAGTGGACAGCGCCGGAGGCTATTAATTACGGCACGTTCACCATCAAATCCGACGTGTGGTCCTTTGGCATCCTGCTCACAGAGATCGTCACCTACGGCCGGATCCCGTATCCAGGTCAGGATTTGCCGGCAGCTGCGGAGCAGGAGGGTTGGCAGACGCAAGAGCAACACCCACGAGTGTGTGTGTGTGTGTGCTCTGCTGCACGCACACAGCATCCAGCCTGGATCTCTGCCCTGCGCCCCCCGAGCCTCCCAGTCCTGCCCTCGAGGCTCCCACGGGTGTCCTTTGCCTCCCAAGGCTCCCACTTGCCCAGCTTGTGGTCCAGTAGTCACTCTTGGGGGGCTTCAGAGCAGTGGAAGGGGATGGCAGGTTGCCCACGGTAGAGTTGGAAATGTGGGGTGATACCTGTGCCATAGGGTGACCCCAAGTTGGTGTTGTCCTGGCAAGGATGACCAACCCCAGGGTGCTACCTCCAACATGGGGGTGATCCCAAATTGAGTCCCATGTGTTGTCCTGGTAGGGATGACCAACCCCAAAGTGGCACCTGTGACATGAGGGTGACCCCAATTGAGTCCTACATGTGACCCAGTGGAGTCCTTTGCAGGGATGATCAACCCTGGAGTGGCATCTGTGATATTGGGGTGACCCAAATTGACTCCAGTGTGTTGTCCTGGCATGAATGACCATTCCTGGGGTGGTATCTGTGGTATGGGGGTGACCCCAATTTGGTGCCATGTGTGTCCTGACAGGGATGACCAACCCCAGGGTGATATCTGTAATGTGGAGGTGACCCCAATTGAGTTCCATGTATTGTCCTGGCATGGATGACCAACCCTGGGGTGGAACCTGTGATGTATTGGTGACCCCAGTTGAGTTCCATATCTGTGTCTTGGTAGGGATGACCAACCCCGAGGTGATCCAGAACCTGGAGCGTGGGTACCGCATGCCCCAGCCGGACAACTGCCCAGCAGAGCTGTATGACCTGATGAGGCAATGCTGGAAGGAGAGCCCTGAGGAACGTCCCACCTTTGAGTACATGAAGAGTGTGCTGGAGGACTTCTTCACTGCCACTGAGGGACAGTACCAGCAGCAGCCGTGATGGTCCCACTGTGGGACTCCCAGTGTTGGGGTGCTGGGGGTGCTCCCCTGCACCAGGTCCCCACAAACTCCATGGACATCACCCCAAAGTGTTGGTGAACTCTGCCTGGACCACAGCAGTAAGGAGTTGAAGCACTGCAGACCTTGGGAGGTGCAGATTTCACCCCTCAGAAGGTGATGGATGGTGACAGTGGACCCCCAAGAGTGGGGAGCTTGGCCCAGGGAGCTCCAGTGGGGACCTGTCCCTGCACTTTCCAGGGTGTAAATCCACCTTCCATCCTCCAAGTGAATGTCCACAGGTCACACCAGCCTCTCCCCCTGCTCTGGCTGTGCCTCCTTCACCCCGCAGTGACAGCAGGACCCCCCCAACAGCGCTGACCACTGCACCCCGTGGCTGTGGGATGCTCCTTCCCCCCATGGCATTGCCAGGACCCATTTCAAACCAGTTGGGGGGGAAATAAAGGCCTTCCCAGTAGTGTTGGCCTGGCTGTCAAGACATGGGGTACATGGGGTGATGCTCCCAGGTGATGGACCCCAATGGGTGATGGACCCCAATGGGTGATGCTCACAGTTGACGCATCCCCTGGCAGGGGGCACTGCCAGGACCCCCCAAACCCCCTGTGAGACCCCTTGGACCCAATCACCCCCTTGGACCACTCCAAGGGCCAAACAC